ATGGAAAATGTACTTTTTGTTAGTAACTGTTTCCTTTATTTGCAGTTCAGATCAGTGACCATCTAAGGTCGTTTGAGCCGACACCATCAGACAACATCAGTGTTCATCAACAGTCAATGACATGACAGTAAGTACAGTAACTCTGTGTATGAAGGGGATGAAAGTTTACAGTAAACACGGCAAGTATTGATTTCATTCAAATGTTAAGGATTAAACCTAAATTGAAGGAGTAGGTTAGGTAATTTGTATGAGGTTTTATGTTGTTATGCTAACCTTTAGGATATGTTTTGAGATTCCATTTAAAGAAAACAGATGCTGCTAGCTAAACTGTATGTACAGTAGAGTGACTTTGTGTTTGAAACAACAAAAAGTAATTATCTAATACTCATGTAGTGAGGTGAAGATTTCAAACCGTGAGTTAGCCATTTGAAATTCCGAGCAATGTCTAATTGCCATTTCTTCTTGTCCTCAGGTGGTACAGGATGACGACAGTAGGACACCAGTGGAATGATATCTGGGCTCCACTTGATCAGTGCTACTTCAACCAACGCCACATTCTTCTGCCTACAGAAGGTTGTACTTGAGGGTTACGTTGTTATCAAGACCCACACAATTAAATTAAAAATGTATTTTGTTTCCATTGCACTTACATTTTACAGTTATCTTTTAAAAATAATGTTTCGTCTAAGTATATCGTACATTTGCAGATGTTATTTGCAGGTAAAACATGTTTCTTTTTGGGCCCATTTTAGTGTTTTTGCACTGTTATTGTATTTTGTAACATGTTGCATGTTAAAACTAGTTAATTAAAATGTAGCTTTTCTTATCAGATGTGGAACAGCTGGCAGGTCGGTGTATTTTTCATGAACAAATCTTGTTAATAGTTGGTGCAAAACAACTTGACAGCAAAGAAAAAAAACCACGGCAGAATCTGTAAACTGATATGGAGATGATTTATTAATGGTTCCTCATTGAGCAGATAAAGGTCTAAGGAAACACGTCTTTTATGTACACAAGATTTCATTCCTGTTTCGCCAGATGCTGTGGTGCCTCCAGTGTCAGACAGCAAACCTTGTTAAGCCTTCAGCAGAGCAGAGAGCAGTTTTTCCACTGCTGTTTTTCCATGCGGCCTTCTCTACATGGTTCTAAAAACCTGCAATAAAATATCACAGTAAGTGTGTCTCATAAACATTTAAAGGATGAGGTGGAATGCTGGCTCTGTACCTGTTATTTATAAAGAGGGACTCGATGAAGGAAGAGATACTACAGTAAAAGCTCTGAGGGGAGATATTTAAAGTCTAAAGAAAAAAAAAAGTAATTAAGTAGTAGTAATTATACTAGTTCTGCTTATATACACATACAGGTATCATGTAGTATTCTTTACTATAAATACACATTATACCAATTTAATTTAGAACAATAGTCTAACCTACTTCTACTAACAGACTAATCTACTAACATCCACTGTTCAGGTTTCCCAGATTCATTGACAGTGTGCTGCTACACATGTTTGTATTTTAATGTGTTTTACCTATTTGTGCATTTTTATTGTTGTTTTAATGCTGATGAAACTCCCAAGGGATTCAGAAACTATCACATGCATTTTCTTTTCACCCACTGGTTTCACAGTCCCAGTCGACAGCAGCTGTCAGCTGATCCTGTCAAACATTTTTGGTGTCCCCTGAAAAGAGCCAGTTAGGGAACGTAGCATGTATCGTGGCAGCAATTCATGAGTGTACGCTGTGTCATGATTACACATGTATTTGGTACAATAACTCTAAGACAAATAATTGGAATATTACAATTATGCTTTTATTGGTTTCACAACACTGTGCTGTTGCATCATAACATAACCTTTAATGTCATAACATTGTTGCAGCATGCCAGTCTTCACTTGTTTATTGCGTTTATTGTTTGAGTTCACCTTCACTTTGGTTATATTTTCTGACTGTACTCAGGAAATGGTTGGGCCTTCATATCGCTAAATATTAGTGACATCAACTTATGACATCCCTGGTGAAGACACGGCAGCATACCGAGCTAAATAACATCAAAAGATACACAGCTCTCTTGTGTCCGTTGTTGGTACCGAGTCGTTCCACACATTGGCCACCTGTGCGGGGAGACATTGTTGAAGGTAAATGTTAAAAGACAAATTATTAGTTTGCTCTACATTACTGGCACCACCAATGACCTCAGAAGAAGCCAATGTTGCACTACTTGCAACATGGGCTACCTTTTAATCTGAATGAAAAAAAAATTCTACTGGCCTCAGTCATGTCCCATTTTCATATCATACACACTATAAAGCATATAGCCTTATGTTTGCAACACAATTGCAAGTCAAAACTAGCAGAGTTGTGTAGCGTGGTTCACGTGGACATTCCATATTCTTGACATCAAACTAATTACTATCCTATAGTCATTGGTAGTACTTGTTCTTGTTAAGTGCAATCATTTCGTGTCACCCACCGGATCTTTAGCGACGGAAAAAGGTCTCCTTCTCTGTTGTACTTCATCTGAGTGATGGACCGTCCGTGGCCCTGCAGTAGGATGGGTTTCTGTACAGAAAAGCAATATTTGCAAGTTCATTTCAGATTTTCAAAAATGTGCATCAGCCCAGCTCAAACTCAAGTCAAAGGCGAATCCCCTATTTACCACGACAAGTCTATGTCCATTATTTAGGACGAAAAACTAACTGCGGATCATTTTAACTTCTAACAAAAGCTAACGTTAGCTGCCGAGAGACATATTGCTAGCGTAAATTGCACTAACGGTCTCGACCATACGACTACTATTTAAAAACCCACCTTTTAAATCAATCAGATGTAGCCACCGTGCCCAGTTTTTTGACTTGAACGCCAGCTGGAAGCCCAAACGCCTAACACTCGTGTCTCATGCTCCGGATCCGCAGCCGGAAATAAGGACCGTAACGTATTCCTATTTCCGTTATACAAACGTTCCAATATGGCACCCCCTGAAAAAAAGACAAAGCCGAAAGGGAAAAAGAAATGTTTCAATATCAGTGCGCCCCCTACCGCTGACATCCACATCCTTTTTTTAGTTGGTTTAGGCTCTTGGAACTTTTTCTTTAATAGAAAGAGCGTGCTCATTGGTGCAAATTTACAAAAATCATTTAAATACAAAATGCCAACTGATGCTTGACATTAAAAGCTAACTGTTGCCACCTTGTGGTTTGTCACTGACACACTATACAGGTTTATGTAAATGTCTACTGGTTCACATTTGAATTATTAAACAAGTAAATTTACCAGTACTCATTTTGCACAAGATCAATCTGATGATGATTCCTCTTGGAGGATATTAATAGCCATGCCAACAGGCTTCATTACAGCAGCATACTTGACCAAAAATGCTGGTGCAATGTATTTATGGTGCATTGTCAATATTAAACACACAAATAAATGAAAATAAAATATATTTTTTTAAGTAAGTAAGTTAAAAATAATTTTTTTGTCAACTTACATTTTTATTTTTAGTGTTGTGATTTGAGGTCAAACTTATCACAACATCTTTCCTCGGGTTAGATGTTGAGTTTTTGTATACTGAAAAAAATGTTTGTTTTGGAAGACACTGCATGATGTAACTGCTGTTTCTTACCGTTTGTAAACTGAACATGCTTTCAATATGAGTCCAGGGGTGTGCCTCCTCGTCTTCGTCTGCATTGCTGACCATTTATTCTGCCATTTTTTGCCATCTAAGACGGTGGATATTTTGACATACTATTTTCAGATGTTAGTTTTTAGCACAAATTATTCACTTAGCCGAATGTTTTGGGACATAAACTTGCATTTAAATGTATTTCTGGGACTTTTTAATTTTTTTTTTTTACATTTTTCCTGATAGTAAGACTATAGTCTTGCTTGCTAGTGGATATTCTCAGTCATCCAGCTCATCATAATAATCTCCAAACAGTTTTAAAGTAGGCAATTGGACTCACCTCAAGTGAGTTGAAGACATTATGTCTTCAGATTATAGTCTTTTTTGGCTCTTTGGTGATATTTTGACATATTCAGATTTTATTTTATTTTTTTGGAGTTTTTGGTGCAAATTTTTCACTTGGCAGCATGTTTTTAGGGCAGAATTTGGGCCAATTTTTTATAAATTATAAAAAAAATGTTTTCACAGTAGCAAAAACTCGTATTTAAATAAAATTATCCATTTCCTCCTTCAGTGCCCGCATCATAATGTATAAAATTCTATTATGAAATAACTCTTTTAGACTTATTTCACCAATTTTATATTTATTTCAAAAAATACAAAACAAGGAAAATACATTTATGTACACAAAGGCTATTCAAATAGATTATTTAGTGAACAAAATATGTACAGCTCGTTGTGGAAAAAGTGGAAAAACAAATCCTATCTGGTCCTTTTGTCTTTGATGGTGTAGTGAAGCACTAAAGGCTGCGCCTAGGAGGGAGAAACAGAGTGATAGTGATATTTGTTAGCTTTCCATTTGTGACATTTAAGGTCTAGTAATGTTTAAAATAATCTTTTTGAAAGAATGAAGAGTCACATTTGCCAGGAAACTCTCTCAGTGAACTATTTTCTGAGTAGCGAAGGCCAAAATTGAGTCATGTGTGAGGAATGTTTGACATGTGTTGGCAGTGGCTGACGCTGGCTGTACTGTACCTTGCCAAACCAGTGAGAGAGCCATAACCGTTTCATGGTCATGTGATCGGGCAGCGACTCGTTATTGAACAACATCTGGACCTGGATGAGGAGAGACCACACACACAGAAACACAGACAGATCAGGTGAAATCATATCATTTTTAATGCAGTGTGAACAGAAAGCAACAGAAACCTCCCTGATACTGCTACCTGCTTAAAACCATTAAAACCTAGGAACACAGAAGAGCCAGCTCCTCAGGGCAGGACTCAGCAGACAAAAATACTACTCCGTCCAGTTGCCTTCGATGTAACTATTTTTGGATTAAATGACCTGGATGACTGAGAACCTACACAGACAGTAGTATACTAAGATATTTTTGATTTTTGTGATAATTAGGTTACTTGCTGAGGGCAAGTAACTTAAACCAAAGTTCTGGCAGATAAAAACATTTCTGCCTTCAGGATAATCACTCACCTGATGTTTTTCCACGTTTAGACGATGACAAAGAACTTTCCGTAGGTGTCTTACTTCGGCCCGGACAGAACAGCGAACAAACTTTTGCTGTTGGAACAAAGTTTAAAAAAAAAAACATGGTGATTTCTTGATGCAGCAACATGTTTTAAATTTTCGGAATTTCAAACAAAAAGGGTCATTGCTATGTAATTTAAGACAAATGATGGCAATTTTATTTACTTTTGAAAATAATTTATTATGAAAAATCTTTCAGAAACTTATAATTGAAGGAACAGAATGTTACTTTGGTACAAAAAGTATTTTTTTCACAATTTTAAGCATTAAAAAATTTATTTTAATTGTACTTTAAGGCAATTCAGTGCAATTTCATTCATTTTTGAGAAACTTTTTGAAGACTTTTTCAGAAACGTATTAGTATACTGTGTTGCTTGTGAGCACAGGTTGTCATTTAAAAAAAAAAAATCAGAACAATATTGGGGACATATAATATAAGGATATACATTTACTTAGAAAGCAAGGAACTGTGGAAAACCAGGGTGGCTGCTCATTATGTCAACTTAACCTGTGTCAATAATTTAAACTAGTGGAGAAATCTGGCTCTGCTTTGAGTTCCGACTCAGATTTCTGCTCCCGGAGTATAGTTGAAGTGGAAAACAGGGCAGACTCAGTCAACAAATATCACTTCAGCTTTACTTGTAACTAGAACAGAACTTGTTGCCTGTAGTTATTAGTTTGAGTTTAAGCTGTAAATGTTTACACACTCTCAAGCCCATAAAAAGCCAGCATTATAACGAGGAAACAGCTGATTCAGGATGTGGCTTTCTCCTGTTACAATTTAGTTTTACTACCAAACAGAAACTCCTGTTTCTCCTGAACCTCTTCCTGTCTCAGTTGACTTATTACACACTGTTAAGCCATTCAGCTAAATTTCCTTCCCCCTCATTCCCAGCACAAGACAGTATTTCTTCTGTGGCCCAGACAGAAATATCATTTACCAAATTTCCACTTCTGTTAGGAGCGTGAAGGACGAATGGTCATGCTGCATGTCTAATCGGCATCAGAGAATAACATGCAACAAAAGGTCAAGGGTTAAAATCCTGAACCGTGCGAGGACACAGCTCACCCCAGAAAACTGAACTCAACGTTTATGTTCAGACAGTTTGAATGTGAAGGTTACTGAATGTCAGTTAATCTACTTTTCACACAGTGGGGAAAATGACTAGTTAGAGCTTGAAAAATGTAGGCCTGTAGACATGTTTTGTTTTCACACAGCCATGAAATCTAGAGTACTGGGAATGTGAGCAAAAACAATAGGTAATCGTTATTTCTTACCTGTAGAGTAAGTTTTGACTTGTCTTTCCCTGCAAATGATGAACTGGAAAATAAAATAATTAGATAAAAATAAATAAATAAGGAGATAGCAGTGAAAACAACACCGTTTGGACACATTTGTGTGTCACACTGATGAGATCAATTTACAACAGTCTCCTCACCTTAGTCTTTCTAAACATAGTGAAACCTGCTCATCGTATCTGTAGAAATGGGCTTTGGAATGGTCAAAACTTGTGTACGGTAAACCTGTAGCATCTGGTACTGCATCTGGAGGAGCACAAAAATTAAGGATCAAAACACTTTTCCAGGGAATTTTCAAGCACTTTTAAGTGTGACGTTGTAGTTTTCAAACAAAAAAAATCTATTGGATCTCAATATTGCATCTTATAACAGAGAAGAAAATACAAGAAAAGCAACAGAGATACATTACAGTAAATTAGAAAAAACAGCAGGAACAATCAATCATTGCAGAAATTTTAACAACTAAGTATATTTTGTTGTACACGTAGAACTAAAACAATTCTCCAGAATTATCTGAAACACAATCTACTGTAACACTTACCATCACCTGCTGGTTGAATTACTCTCTCTAGACCACGAGACTGATAAAATTCTTTTATTCTTTTATCTTCACCTGTTGAACAGAAAGAAAGAAAAATGTAGACATTGTGTAAATAAGTAAACACATCTCATTGTCAGAGACCAATCAAATCAGGTTGAAATGGTTTGAAAAGCCCCAAGAGCTGTTTTGACATACTTTCTTGAAGTCCAGGCACCAGTTTGTAGACAATGTCTTGCATGACTCGGTCCAGTTTGAGGTTGAGTAGCGGCTGCGTCTCGTGGATTTTGATGTTGCACATCGGACAATATTTGCTGGTCTGCAGGTACTTCACAATACAACTCTTACAGACTACAGCAACACCAGAAAGACATTGTATTCATTATTATGTTTAGAAGAATAAGAAAAAAAAAACGAAATAATTAAGTTGTGGTGAAACTTACATGTGTGCAAACACTCTGTTATTGTTGTGGCATCTATGAAATAACCTGCACAGAGATAACAGACGATGTGTTCGTTTAGGTCCTTGATTTTCAACTTGACCTCCTCCTGGAAGAATAGACAGAGAGATGATTTGAAAATATGACAGATCTGAAATTACAGATAACTAATTCATAAGGTCAGAGTTTAGACGAATTGTTTACGTAAATTGTCAAAAAAAGAGAAAGAAATCAATATTATGCATCTCCCGACCCCTGGTGGCCAGACACCGCAATCAGAGGTTTTTTAAATTAAGAATTCTCAGGTATTGTGGATTTCAATATTACATTTTAGCTAATTCTTTTTATTTATACATCCTTTGTCTATTGTTTAATAATTTGCAGACAATTATTCCTAACATGGGTTTGGATTTGTCATAATTAAAAAGTGTATGTTTTTGTCATTTATAATCACAACGTCTGGATCTATCAGAAGACACCGGTAGTGCTCCGACTCCTGTCACGCTTTTTCCCTCTTTATTCAGTTTCATATCATTTTAGGTGCAAAAACTGCAGGAGGCAGCAGGAGCGAAACCGAGAAACAAAGGATCAGCAGTTGGCAGCTCCATCAACAGGCTCCGCAGCCAAGAATAACTCGAGACACTTAAGCGCACTGAGGTGTTCTGCTGTTTAACACAGCACTGACAGCAGAGTTTTACTCAGACTACATCTACATTCCACCAAACACACTGCTTCTCTTCCACACCAAGCTGGGTTTAGTTGTTGTCGACATTTGTAAATGACAAACACTTATATAGCACCAATGGATGGAACATCCAAATCTCTGAAAGACAAAAGTCTGAGTTGGTTAACCTAACAACAAACATGAAACTTTATCAAATCAAAAGCTACACATGTACGTGTATTACGCAATGTATATGTCTGACACCCTGCAGAGAGGTTTTATTGCCCCGTGATGACGAGTCTTTCTGCAGGTTGCACCACTGAGCGCCTGGTCCCGACCTTTGACATCTGCGAGTAACTAGGACACTGAAAACGGGGCGGTCGAAACTACAATCATAAGATAGTTTAAAAATGACAAAAATAAGTCGATTAAATGTTGTTTACGAGAGAGGAAGTGAGCGTTAACAAGCCAACTGCGGAGAACAACGTGGTGCCGTTGCTGCGGAGAACACCTGGGTGCCGTTGTTCTCGTAAACCCAGCCAAGAGCGGGTACTTCACTTCACAGCGCACCCAGAGAGAACAGGCAGAGACCGCAGCTGTTAGTGCTGCTGCCTGCGAAAGTAGAGCGATAACTGCTCATGAGACCTAAAATACTCAAACGAGTACAGTTAATAAACTAAATCTGACACTTTGTTCACGGGATTCGGGCACGCTGGGGGTAGAACAACACGAGTGGACACCCCCACTCTGGTTCCCCCTTCACGCATGCTCACACTCGGCTCTCTTCAGCATCGCACTCCCCTCTTTCGCTCCATCAGCTCCGCGGACAAGACAACCATCTCCCGGCAATACGCGCCTCCAGCCCGGCTCTGCAGCGGTCCGAATCCCCGCTCGCCTCCGCCACAGTGCCGACGAGCTGTAACTACACGACTGCTTACCTCGTTCCTCAGCGGGTCCAGTTTGTAGACGGACTGTAGCTGATTTCGTAGCCGCATCGCTATCGCCATCGGACCTTGATCCGCCATCTTTGGGAATTATGCTCACTTCCGGGTACACCGGATGTGTCATTTTTAATCAAGCTGGATAAGGAAACCCCGTCAAATAAGTCAAACAAACAAATTAGTAATTATTCATATTGTAAAAAGTTAATATGACTATTTTTTACCCATTCATTCATTAAATTCCCATTCCATATTCTTTAACTGCATAATTCTGAAGAACAATGACAAGTTTAATTTCTAAACAGATAAAAAATATATAATACATTTTTCTTAATTTTCCTGTATAAGTGTAAGGTATCAATTAATTTATAATTTACATGTTTATATACCATATAGTTCATATCATTGTAATTATTCATGTTCAGTTAATATACAATAATAAAACAGGGGCAATATTAGTTTCAATTTGTTGGTTGTTGTGTTTGTTGCATTTTAATGTTGAGATAGCAAAAGTGTCTTTATTTACCGTAACACTGTAGGTGTAATGTTCAGTCTAGCGATTTGATCCTTTTTTTTTTTTTTTACAGGAAAAATATTCATGCAACAATAGAATTGTTAAGTTGTAGGCTATTCTATCGTATTCCATTCAGTCACTTCGTTCCACTTTAAGCTATTTCTTTGCCAACTTTTAATTACTTTTGTGGTTTACCACAATTAATTTTCTTTTAAAGCACACAGGCCCGTCTTACCTCGTATTTTGGTATATACCTTGACCAATAGAGGGCACTGCAGTCACACACTTCATTGGGCTGTCAGTAGCGTCGGATTGCCTTTAATATTTATTAAATGTCGTGAAGAAATACCATTGAGTAAATAATGTATTCAAGGGTTTAACGTTGTAATTGAGAAGAAAAATGTAATTTAACTAATGTGTTGACGATAGCTCTCAAAGGCAGAGCAGGCCCCCGAGTCAGCCTTAAATAACATAAAAACAATGACCTCATGTCTAAAGGTGCTTTTATCATCTGTTTAATTTTCATGTTTGTTTAACTACACTCGCACACCAGTTTATGACAGGATCATGTGGGTTACAGAATATACACTTCCTAATTATACCTAAGGAGCCTCTTGACATGGTTGACAGATGTATTTGGCACAGACCCAGATTAAAGTGAGTTAAGACACAAACATACCCAAAGGTGTTCGCAGATAAAGGGCCAAGTGTGGGAAAAACACTGTTCAAGCAACCACAAGCCACACAGAGAGTGCGGTGGGTCCCTGTAACCTGAGTCCCCCTTAAAATCCCAGGACCTACAGTACACAGAGAGGCCAGGCTGGCTGCATGCACTCCAATTAGATCTGCTAAATTATGTCTGACACTGTGATGTGCTGCTCATAACACAAACACACACTCCCTAAGCATGTTGCACCACACAAGAAAATTGAAATTTGATATTCTTGTAAGGTTTTTAAATAGGCAATTCTGATGTTCTGAGGTTTGCTGAATATGTGCAGGAATGTGTAAAGTCTGGCCTGGGGACTGTTTGTGGCACTTGAATGGATTTTATCTGGTCTTTCTTAAAATGTGTTTATTTTTTATTGGCGCTTTGGCCCACAGGCCATGTCTCTGTCATTGGTATGGAACCCCAGGGTTCACCTCCTGGGCAAGATCGGATCCCGGTTAGGGCGATTGTACCTTCTAGTGGACTCACCATCCACAGGAAGGTTCAGGGGGGTTTGTACAGTGTGGTGTGATTTGGGTGGCGGTCATGGAGATTGCTGCCCCTGTGACCTGGTAATGGATAAGCAGATGAAAATGGATGGACATTGACACATCTGTGCTGTTCCACAGACTTTTGTTCCTTCACCTTTTTATGCATTCATGGCGAAGTTGCGACTTTCCAACTGCTCTTTGACCTAAAAGGCAAAAATGAAGTTATCTTCTAGATTTGGCCAACAATTTCCTACTATTTTATTTCTCTGTAACTTCAATAGGTTACCAGTTATAGTTGTGGTATATTTTTAGATGTTAAGACTCCTTCTTGGCTATTTAGTTACTGTCATACATCTTTATTTTTTGGTATTTTTAAGCAGTTTTCTGTCAGGTCTGTCTGCTACCCTTTTCCTGCTGTCTGCTGTGTGGGGTAATCTGTGTGATCACACTCACCTGTGTCTGTAATTAGCCTCACTTGTGTCACCTGGTGCTCCCTGTGTATACATACCTCTCTCTCTCACTCTGGCCAGTGGGATCATTGTGATTGGGATTGATTCAGTGTGTAAGTAAGTGACTGTGTTGTGTATTGCATCTGGTTAATGGTGTAGCTGTTCTTTGTCTAGTCTGTTCCTCTGCTCTGTAAAGTTCCTAGTTTGTCCTGTTCTTGTGTAGAAGTGAGTTTTTGTTGTTTTTGCTCTTTGAAATAAACTATCTGCACCAGTATTGCATTTGGGTCCTGCCTTCTTCCTGCAATGTCGATGCTCTCACGTGACATTTTCAATTTTCTATTTTGCATTTTTAGCTATTGGTTTATTTATATTATTTGGTTGTATGTTTTTTAAGGAAATTGCATTAAAATGCTTAAAAATGTCATTGTTATAATGTGTAAGTAACATACTGATGCATGCTAAATTGTAGCAGTCATCAAAATCCCACATAGGTTGTTAAAATAGTGCTAATCTGAGTTTAATTGGCTTTGTCGCTGTGATGATGGCTGTTACCCTTCACTGTCAATGCTGTTTTTAATGCTGTTCAAGTCCTTAGACAATCGAGGTGGTTGAATGAGGATTTTTTTTTTTTTTTTTTTTGTCAACAGCAGCTTTCGAGGAGCTCTTGAGAAGAGCTCTGAAGCTGCGGCCACTGTGGCCAACAGTCGAAGACTGTGGTTGGACTGGGCAGCTCCCAGACCTAAGTATGTGTAGCTATGTGTGAATATGCAGCATGGTGGTGGTGTGTGGCCTCAGCATCAACAGAACTGCAGATAATCATGTGGCTTGTGTGTCTGGGATATGTTTATTTAAAATAATCTTTAGCTTGTATTATGCTATGAAGAAAGATGTCACACAGTTGGGGTTCTAGAAACCATTTGTTTTTCCCAAAATATAATCACAATTATCCAATTACTGGGAGAATGAAAAGCAATAGGTTTGTGGAAAATGTGATTTCTAAATTGGTGCAGAAAAAGAAAATTCCTGGTTGTGGCTGAGCTGCAGACTGAATGAAGGTCTACCCTGTTTCGACAGGTCGTCTCATTGGTATTACATGAGGAGGTCTCCTTGATCCCTCCCCAGAGGGCTTCCAACCTGCAGGACCACCCAAAAGCTGCCATGCGAAACAAAGACTCACCCTTCATTCATTCTTTTGTGATTTCCCAGTGTAACGGAATGACTGGCAAGTTTTGTCTAATTCCTACCACCTCAGTGGGTCTGCAGCAGCAGAATGTGAGAGCCATTCATTGAGAAAGTTAATTCTGCCATGAAAGCTTTGTGTATTGGCTGTAATTAGGATTCATAATTGATGTAGAATTTTTTGAACAAATGACTAATATAGTATATGATAATAAAGTAACTCATAACACTAGTGGTTATACTGAATGAGCATGTTCAAAATTTCTTGTGTTGCTTTTGATTCAACCTAGTTTATTACTTTGGACTATTTTGGCCTAACCTTTAGTTTTCTACAACAATTTTTATTCTATTTTTCCTTTCTGTAACTCACTTTATGGTATTTTAGCATATGTTCATGTTATCTTGTAGTTTCTTTTATGTACTGCTAACTTTTAGTGTGTTTCTGGCCTAAATTATATGTAGCATTGGCTCTTTGTCTAAATTAAATTTTTTTTTTCAGTATTGTATGTTTCTTTGAGATCAATAATAATAATAATTTACTACAGGGTTTTTTTTTTTGGTAACCAGAAGTCTCTTGTTTTAACTGTGGGGGGAAAAAAGCTGGAGAAAAGGAAACTTTTGTCGTCAGGTTTGTTAAATGCTTTATAAAAGCATAAAAGTTGGCACAGTTTTACCAGGGATTTACTTATATTGTTAAAGAAATAGTTATCCGGGGTCCCGGCCCCAGATAAGTGGTTGATGATGGATGGATGGATGGTTAATAAAATACAACACATTTATATAGTACTTAACTGTAGACTTGTGTATCGTAGCACGGACAGCTAGCAATAACCTACCGCCCCTCAGAAATGTTTGAACACCCCTGTTTTAAACTGGTTTTACCTGGTGTAGGAACAACACAACTTTCTGCTGCACATAATTCTGTCATGTTGCCTTTTCATTCATACATCTGACAGAAAACTTGTAAAGCCCTGGGCTGTATTTTCTGTTCCAACGAAAAGACAAGTGCTTACGAACGCGGTCTGAAACCGACGTTGTTGAATTGAATAGAAATTATAGGAGATGCATAAAAGCACACATGATATAATTTAATTCTTGGCAGCGGCTTATGAGCTTGAAGAGCCGTCGCGATCGGTCTCGCTTCATAGTCAGGCCTTGTGCCCTCTGTCGTTTCCTCGCGTAGCGTCTTATCTGCAGGGTCTGCGAGGTCACTGCTTATCTGATTGACAGTTGTGCTTTGACTCCACACAATATCCAAATAACCTGAGGGCCTGGAGGTGCGGCAGGACCACTCCGCTGCACAATCCAGAGGGTGGGAAAGTACGAGAATGAGAAAAGGGAAAAAGAGCCGGTGGCGAGGGAGAGGATGAAAAGTCAGATCCTTTAATTTATTGTCATCTCTTCACGTCAAAAGTCATGGACCATAGATCCACAATTTTCATCTAAGTGTCTGTAGATTTGCCAATTTTATTTCTTCTGTCTTTCACTTGCCTATTAGACATAATTAGTTTATCTTGTGGATCAAACACCTGCCAGGAATAAAAGACAGGTACAGTACAAAGCATCGGGGTATTATTATTACTTTTCTGTTATTGAGTTAAAGACAAGGGAATTTCACAGACATTTTCTCCATCTGTCTGTCCTTATTTAGTTGGATGTTAACTGTTACCCCACCTAATCAAATCATGCATGAGGAAACTCCTTCTGGGTAAAATGACTATGAATCATTTGGAAACTCGCACAACCGATAGATAAATAGATAGAGACCCTGTTTAACACTGTCCTGGACGGACTGTGCCAAAACAACCAAACAACCACCCTGCTACTAGAATCTGTGTGGTGCAGTCATGCCAAAAAAGAGGCCCCTGCTCTCTCACTCTCTCTCAGAGCAATCAGAGCATGCAGGGGTGGACTGCAGCTTTTGTCTCCTCTGCTCCACCAATTGGCCGCCAAGTGGCAAGCTAATGACAAGAGCCCTCTTGGACTGACTCCAAAGCAGTTCTGCTTGTGCTATTTGATGGGCAAGGGCATAATGAATGATGTAGGGCGAGCCCTTTAGGCCCCTGCCTGGCACCGATCCAAACGCTGTCCCCAATATCACAATCCGAAACTCTTTGCTTTGGATTGCTGCAAGAGCAAAAAAACAAAACAAAAAAACAGTGTGTATAGGAATTTGTCTGTGTGAGAAAAACGGCGCCAACATGTGCTGAAAGCGACAGTGCGTTGTGGTTTGTGACAAGTGACGAAACAGTGACAAAATTGAGTCAAATACAATGGAAATGAGTGCTGTGGCTACTCTGGTTTCCTTACACTGTCCTAGAACACGCAGGATAAGGCTGAACTGAGGTGATAGAACTTGATAGATAGTTTTTTAAGGAAGGAAAGTGAACTACTTGTCTGCTGTTAACCCATAACCAAAGTGAGCAGGGGGAAGCATGAAATGCCTAGGGAGCAGTGTGTGCCGTGCCATGCTCAGAACACCTCAGTGGTAACTTGGCAGCTGGTGGACTCGAACCAGGACCCTTAATCACTAAGCCACCACTGCACTTTTTAAAAAAAATGTTTTAAACAACTGCTCTGTGTATAAAAAAAGACCAAATGTAGCTTTAAATGACCATTAATTGACGCTATAAAGAAATGTAACTTCTTCTTCTACTTTTCACGACATTTCACAAGTAAAAGGTTTTCAAGGATGAGTGAGTCATCCATCCGAGATTCCCAAGCCAACCTGTCCACACCAGTCTCTCTCTTTGAAATTTAATACCCACAGGAGGAGACACACTTGCTCCTCCTGTCGTCTACTGTATCTTCTGTGTGCAGGGAGGTGCACATTTACTTATCACGCAGCCATCTCATCTTCATGGCCATTTAAGAGAATAGGGGCAAAGGGATAACAACCTCACGAGAGAGGAAACGTCGCCTAAATTCAAAAGGAGGATGCAGGCGAGTCGAGTGCTGCGGTTGCACTCTGTCTGCACCACCATCAGACCGATATATAATGGCTCTTGACTGTCCCAATCTGATACACAATATTTGGTCGTTCAGAAATTACCTTTTACTAAACATGGGATTTTATCCCAGTCAAACATTACAAGCTTGATTTGAGATCTCTTAGCGTTTAGCTCTGGCCTGATATATTAAATATATTCTTGGCTAATTTCTGGCTAATTTGTTAAAAACATTTTTCACCACCTTTAACCTAGGCTTGCATTTCTTTTGGACTAGTTGTAAGCCATTTCAATAAACCTGACAATTCTCTACTCAGAATGGGACCTAGTATCTGCTTTGCCAACCTTTTTCTGTTGTTGCTATTGTAGCTAACTGTTTTTGTTTCTGGGCTTATAATTATTTATACTTTGGCTAATGTTAACCATGCTAAAAGTTTAGAAGAAGTTAGCATAAACTTTACCATATTTTAATATACGCTCCCTACTCTTATGAATGGCAATCTATTAGAATATCTGTCAATCCCAAACCCTAATAAAATGTAAATTGTTTAGCTGCAGAATTAAAGACTGAATCACAACATGATTCTTTCTACAAGGTCACAAAGGGAAACAGAAGGTAATTGTGGTAGGGACAAAAGTTTGCCAAACGTCTGTGTACTTAGTGGTCATCTACCTTCATCTACCGACATGTTTTTAAAATCACTTTTTTGTGTTCAAAAATGTCAATTTAAAACCACTTGCATGCAACTAGATGTGAGTCTGTCTTGAAATATGGCGGTCCAGTAAAAGCAACATGCAACCTGTAGACAAATGCACATCAAAAGCATTATGCTGCTTCATGAAGCCCGGGTAAATGCTGGGGGTTTGTTTGTATTTGTCTAAGATGATGTCAATTCCTTGATGCCCCAGCGTGATTTGGTTCAAGCTTTCTGGCACATGACTTCCCTTTCTGGCCCTGCTGGAACAACTTTGATGAGGACGCAGAAGAGGAGACCCTTATAACGTGCACTTGCAGCATAGGTGATGGAATTGTTTTGGAGATCTCATTTTCTTCTCTTCTAACCTTGCATGCAGGCAGTCCTTTATCTGTCTTTGCTATCTCCTTCCATAGCATGCAACTGCTGTGATCGCCAAGCCTAACGCGTCACAGCTTCTCTCTTGCCGCTGCAGGAAGTGGTCTATCTGGTGGAGTCGTCTCCATGGTGTTCAGTATTCACTCTCACTGATAGACACAGGATGAGATGATGAGTGGCGTGTTTACACAACACAAATTTGATATGATTCAAAGGTACTCACGAGTGAACAGATGTCAGTTCCTGCCTTTGTTGCACAGTTTTGACGACACTTTGATGACACAGTGGCGTGCTGCAGAGTTTCAAATGAAAATCCAATATTTTTCAGTTAAAACTTTGTACATTTTGTAGGCATTTTTTTAGACTTTTTCTTATACAGTGAGTGAATTTAAAATGATAGGCTGAGCTTCTTTACTTCATTTCTTAGGTTAGCATTTCAGGGTTTTTCACGGAAGACAGATCAATGAATTTTCACCTTAACATCTTCTCCTTGAAATAACCCTCAACTAGGAATGCACCATAGGAGGACACTGACCCTGGCCTCCAACAGAGAAAACAGGCTCTGTAATATATTGACAGGCAGACTAGTGGAGTCTGGCAGTAAACCCTAGACCCCTGGTTAGAATTCCTATTTGTGTGTTAAAGCCTTCAGCCTTGGACGTATCTCTGCATTGAAATGTCAAAAAAAAAAAAAAAGAATGAACAGAATCTAATCAGTTGGTTAAAAAACAGTGTGTAGCAGTAAGAAGGAAATAGAAACAGAATTTATAATATCTAATATCTATAATTTAATTTAATGAAACTTTCATTTTCAGTTGCTTTGGTTAGGAAACAGTAAACTTGTAAATTAAAAAAAAAAGCGTTATTGTTTAAAATGTGCTTAAAAGTCCCTTTGAGAGAGAACACTGGAAACACTTTTCGTACATAATGAAACGGGGCTTTTACTCCAATGTGAACTTTCCCCCCCTTTGCTAAAACAACCCCCGTGCCATGCATAAGGCAGATGACATCACTTTTAAGTACAATGAATGGAGAACTGCAAGATTTTAATCAAACAGAATAACTAAGTTCTTGTATGTTGGCATTGAAGACTGGTGACTGGCCAGATGCACATAAAAGCAGCAGTTCTCTGTTTGTTTATAACACCGAGGCTTCATTTAATCCACTGGTATTATTAAAACTAATCAGCAGCAAATCCTACCCTCCTTAGTTCTTGGACACAAACCAAAGCCCACTTCCTCTCCCCTGGCAAAATTAAGAACTTGTTTCAGGCCATACATCATGATTTTTTTTTTTTAGTTTTTTTTTCAGGGTCTGTTAAAGAAAGCTGAGGTTTCTCGTAATTACAGGGAATCAAAGGCTAATTTGCGCAGGATCAAAGAAAGGCATTCTTCTGTAATCCCGGGGTGTTGCAAATCTTCTGTAATCTCCTTGTTGCCTTCCACCACTGTTTGACATTGATTTACTGTATTAAAAGGAGCGGTGCCATTAATTATGGGGCTGCTAGTGCTGTTGTTTACTTATGACAAAACCTGAGTTCCACAGCCTGGAATATAGATCTCCCCTCTCCCCTGTTTGCTCTGTGCAGTTGAAGGTGTGCTCTCTTGCTTACCCTTGGCTTTGGGTTGGAGGTTGTCTGGCTGCTTCCTGGTCCTGGTCTGTGATGTGGGCGAGGAGATTAGGGGGGATCAACTCTTGGTGGCTCTTAGTTTGTTCAGTGTGGAGATGTGGAAACAGACGCGTCCCCCGTCTGTCAGCTGGATCAAACCTCACAATTAAGCAAACAATTTGTTTTTTAAATTAATCAAATCTAAAAGAACTACTTAGCATCTAACATCTATAAAGTTTTCAAAACTTTGAGTTAGTTGGCCAGGTTTTGGTAGATTTTTGTCAAACATTGTAATACTCTATACTTTTGCCAAACTACTGCTATTTGAAGTACATTTTTGGATGATTTCACCTGAATTTATAGCTGTTTCTGCCATAGTATATGACTTTACATTTCTTTGCAGTCTTTCAGCTCTTTAGGGACCAACTTTAGTTTTTATTCA